ATAAAATGTTGATTCAAATCATTCATATTTTTTATTATCAAGGAGATTTCATGTTCTTGCTGTGGAATTTATAAAAAGTCCAAAAGACTTGAATTTTTGCTTTTGAATATATTTTATTGTAAGGGTTAAAATGGCTCTCCATAATTTTTAAGTCCAACTTAGAGTTAAGTTTGCCTTGGGATCTTTGTGAAACACCCCCATGGGTGAAGCGTGGGTCAAGATATTTAGGGAGGGGGTTGATATTATAGAGGCACCTTGCTTAGACTTGTTGAATCTGATTTTAGACCATCAAAGTGTCGGAACTTCTTCACGTTCTTGGTTACCTCGTAATTTCTCCCCCCCCCCTTTTTTTATTTTTTTATTTTTTTAATATTTTTTTTTACTAACCTTTCATAGTAGGGTATGGGCACGTGTACTCATTTGCCCCCGTGCCCCCTATGTAGCGACACCACGGTTAATAACAATAATCATCAATACCAGTGCTAGTAAGGGAGTCTCGGTCTCTTGACAGCGGAGTCTAGATATCTCCTGTGTATCTCCCGTGTATCCATTCTTTCATGCCCTTAAAGAAGTGAATGAGTTCATCGAACCTCGTTTCACGGCCAGAGTGGGACACGGCAAAAACACAGCCATGGTTCATTACAAAATTAGTTTACACCAAACTCATCTGTTTTTGTATGCACTAGTTCGAAACGACATTATTGTTACCCTTAGAATATTTCTCAAAGGATTCGCGCGTAGTTCCGATTGTAATGAGAGCTGCATGTAATTACAAATCTGTGACGCACACGCTAACACACACACACACACGCACACACACACACGCACACACACACACACACACACGAGCAAACAAAGCCAAAAAAAAAACAGAAATGCCCTGAGCGTTCATCAAATACGGTATTGGATTACAAGTTACCCCTGAATTTTGCTGTTGATGATGATGGCAACGTTATGCTTTAGCTTAAAATGACGTAAACGAAAAGAAATCATTCACTATTTTTTTATTTTTTTATTGAAACATATGAAAGTAGAAGAAGATTTACAAAGTACCATAATTTCAAGTTCAAGTTCAAGTTTATTTCTTTTCTACATAATTTGTTTCCACATAGGCCTAAATTATTTATCCCCTGTCTCATGCTTCTTTTACAAAAGTACAAATGATTCGTTTGAATACTCTCGATAGTAAAGCATATAAGTTAATTACAGCATAATGAAAAGGTTTAAAATAGAAATAGTGAGGGGGCCTATAGTAAAACAAGGCTGCTGGTTAGGCCCGGTGAATTATACATTTACAGACAAGAAATGGACAAAAGGAATAGTAGAAGAGAGGAGGAACGAAATAAGCTATGAGAAGAGAGGCACGGTAAGGCGCCGGAAAAAGAAGGACGAAAATAGAGGACATTACAAGACAAAACAATTATTGTCACAATTAAGAACGGGGACTCAAGGATTTTAATTGTTAGTATTTATCATCTCAGACCTCGATCAGGAGAGTATGCTAGACAAAATATATTCTATATCTAGCAAAAGTGAGCGTTCTTCCAGAAATAAATTGATCGTATCGTGTGGAATTGGCCTGAACTGGTGTCATCTTCGCATTGGTTTTTAGTAAGCACGCTATTCATGTTCATCTTTTTATATCAATTTTTTTATTGTGATGAAACCTTGTTGAATTTGAAATTTAAGCAGGACTGCACTACTTATAGCTACTTGCGCCCTTTACATAGCAAACAACGCCTAAGCGGTACCCGTCGGTCCCCCATGATCCCCTTTTTCTTATGTTAATTCAGAGCTGATTTTATGAAATACCCACCTTGCAGTGACCATGCATGGAGGTATATTCCCTCTTGGCCAAACTAGTACAGACAGGCTTTAAAGGGAAATCTTACTTTGCTTAAAGGTAAAGACCAGTATTGGAAACGCCCCAATTTCAAAAAATGAAATGGAAGCTCTCATTACCAATCATGTGAAAGAATATGTTTTGACTGATACATGATGATAAAAAATTTGCCGGGAAACCGCCTACTAATTCATATATTTGGTAAATTTGTTTCTCTCATGGTCTGTGAGAGATAATTAGGGTAGTCCCATATACATCTTTCTGTGTATAGTGATTGTAACTTTACGAAGAATGGGCCAAATTTCTTATCATTTTGATGATTCCAGAACCTTGCAGATGCTAGATGCTAGATGATCAACCTTTTCTGATCGATTCCACAACGTTTCTTTCACAATGCAATCGCATGACCATAACTGGTCTTTACCTTTAACACGAGCGCAACCACATTCGAAAAATCAACCTACGGCGATTTCAATAGCCTTGTTGTGCGCCACCTACTGAATGTGTGAACATGCGATGAAGTATTACGTAATCAATTTTTTATTTTTTTTATTTATTCAACCATAAAAAAAATACATATACAATAATAATTCATGATAATATAAAAACATGGGGTTAGGGGCCCCTGAAGAAGTTGGAAAACAAACTTGTGATTGGGGTACCAACCATGACACATAATCATATCGAGAAAATTAACAAAAACAACATTAACGGGAAAACAAATATATACAAGAAAAAAGATTATAAAGACCTACATGTATATGAGGATAAGACATTTACAGCAAAGCACCAGCAAAGGACGCACACAGGACACGACGTCAAGCGACACTGCGTCACTATATGCGCCCCCGGCTGGTGCTTTGCAGTATTACAAAACATTTATATACAAAATATAAAAAAATATTAAAAAAAAGAACAAGTGGAGCAAGTTATTCATTATTTAATTGAGCGTGGTTTTTGTACTGCAAGAACATTTCATTTTTCAAGAGTTTTTTTAAATTTATCAAGAGTTTTACTTAGTTTAATATTATTGTCTAGGTCATTCCATAACTTAATTCCAACGTAAGGAATTTTGACTAATTGTAGTTTTGGGAAGAAATTGATGAAGATCTGCGTGTTGACGGGTGAAATATGAGTGATAGGAGGCATTTGTGCTAAAAAGATCATTAAAAACATCTGGCAAGGCATTCGTATGGGTAATGATACATAAAGATATAAGTATACATAAGTACAAGGTCAGAGACCTTTAGGCCCGAATTCACAAAGGAGGTTTGTCGACAAACCTTGGTTTTCGTACGTCATAATGACGCGTTTTACGCGTTTTTTTACAAACCTGGTTTGTAAAGAACAAAAGGAGGTTTGGCGAAACAAAAGGAGGTTTGAGCTCAAACCTTGGTCTGAGCTCAAACCTTGCTTTGTGAATTTGGGCCTTAATGTTTTACATATATATGATTTCTTTGGGATGGACAATAAAGTATCAGAATTGTCCCTGGCTTGATTTTACGACAATAGCCGTCATCGTGTTTCTTTAAGAAAAATGAAAACTCTACAGACACCAATGCAGCAATAAAGATACGAAATTCTAATTATCTTTTCATGTTAATATATATTTTCCATATTTTCCACATCTTATAAAAGAACGATTTATGTAGCAAAGTTACGTGACTTAATATTGTCCAAGGTTCTTTCAAATCAATATAATCGTCTCGATTTCAAAGGAATCATGCTGATATTGTGACCATTTCTATTACGTATAGTTAGAGATAAGCATGACTAAATATATTTTTTCTTTTGTACGTGAGCTTTAACCTGGTGTCGGGTGAGTGACGATCTCAGTAAAGCTCATTGTATACACAATTAAACCACAATTATAATAAAGCTTTGCATCTTAAAACATATTTGCATGTACAGGCATAACCATTTGTTTGACATACATTAGATATTCTCCCATCAATAAATTTCCCAAACAGGTGAATTTAATTGTCCAAACAATCTTGCACCTGCCTCATAAAAACACAAATAATGTCACCAATTCACCTAATCTATGAACGGAAAGCAATTGATAATATGATACGACTCTACAAAGAATAATTTAATTAAAAACTCCAGCAGCCGAAAGATGAGTAGGCAGATAATAATGAAAATACAAACCAGGCATGAAAACAATAAGCTTTTAAAACACGTGTACTTTACCGTTATTATACTTAAAAGAACAAAATATTGTAAAATATATAGGCTGAAATACTTAATAATTATACGCATTCTTAAAATTAGAAAATTATAGTTTCACATAAAAACGTATCTGTACGATGCCGGTTAAAAGAATTAAACAGAGCAAAATTGGGATTGTCGACCGCAACTAAGAAACGATATTAATCAAATCAATCTACGTTCCATCAAAATGGCTTTCATAGTTCTCAAGAAAGAAAATACAATATTGTATACACCGTCATTTGATTACAAAAGAAATTTCCATATAGATCCGTTTTAAAAGTGTCCATCTTGTTTCATATCGCGCCAGAAAGAACGCAAATAAAATGCACATTTTGAGAATGAATAATACAATCGGAGATCAATAACGCTCATTAAGTAGTTTATAAAATATTACTATGGAGTGTTACATTACGTAGCTGAAGCAGAAGCACATTGTTTTGTTAAAGAGAAATTCGAGTTCTGGACAAGCCATTGCATTATGAAAGAAACTGTCTAAAAGCAATTGAATATAATGCGAGACGAAGAAGGGCCCAAATCTATGAATAGCATTTAATTATGACGAAAAGAACTGCCCCTTTTCCTTCTTCATGCATGTCAGATTTCGTTAAAGATAAACTTGAGTTCTGGTAATGCGATTGCATTGTAAAGGAAAAGGTGTGGAATGGATCAGAAAAGTTGATCATATAGCATGTACGTAATGGTGTGTAATGCAAGGTTCTGGAGTCATCAAAATCATCATAAATTTGGCAGAGTCTTGGTAAAGTACCAATCACTTACACAGAAAGATGTATATGGGACAACACACATGGTGTCGGGGCTAGTACTACCCTGATTTCCTTATCTTTCTATGCTCATTACTCAGCCAATATACATATTCTTCCAAAATTGTTAGGCACATGGCATTTATTTGTAATCTTGAACATTCAGTGTATTAGTTTCGTTAGATTCTGTGAGAATTAATTTTCTTTTTTAACCAGAACTCAAGTTTATCTTTAATTTAGAAAGAGCCATGTGCTCAAACTTCTTTTGAACACGATCGCTTGTAAAATCAACTCAAGGTCAATTTCAATACCCTATATTGTACTGCCTAAAGAATCATGTTCGGATTAACATGTCACCATAATGCTGGCACATATCATGGATTGGAGGGACAAGGGTATTGAAATTGTGTTCGGCTGATTTTGCGAAAGCCTTTGCGATTGTTTGTTTAAACACATGAAGTTGGTGCACTTCGTGAATGACATCGTAGAAGAAGGAGCAGATCGTCTTGTTATATGTCAACACCATTGGGCGTCTTGAGATTGAAGAACATGGCGGTGATCATACCTGTTGAAAATAGACAGAAAAATGGCAAGAAAAATACAAGAGGGTGAAAAAAGGAGAAGAGGAGAAACGAGAAGTAAAACATTAAAAGAATTGCAAAGGACGAAGTGAATGAAGCGATGAAATTAAAAGAAGAAGGAAGAGAGAGAAAGTCGGGGGGGGGGTGAGAAAAATAAACACACCATGAACATGATAAGAAAGATACGAAAAGGAGAAAAATGAAAAAACGATATTAGAATCACTAAAATAGGAATACATGAGATTCAACATTTCCCAAGTAAAATGTGATTGGTAAATTTACCAAAATCTACCTCAAAACACTTTAAGAATATTCATTAAAGAAAGCTTTCAAACAAAAGATTATCGTCTACTCAGGTAAAAGAAATATGACAAAAGGTGACATTAAGGAGATGTTTGATCAAAGAATGTATTCGGTATATTCAAAGGTCAAACTGTTACTTTATTGTAGTGGAATTGTCCAGAATCTGACCTATTTAATTTTGATTTCCACCACACCAACGCAATATATGCGACCTCCTCCTACTTACTTGCTGCCAGCCGAAGATGGCGTGATCTTTAAATGAGGACGCCTGCCGACATCTGGGCTGGTGAGCATAATAAGTTCGTTGATAAAGCCATCTTCGGCAGCTTGAATCAAGTGTGTAGGAAATATAAAAAAACGCCCAGATTCTGTACTAGGGGTGGATATGTACGGGTGTTTATTTAACCCACTATTGGACTCACCTACTACCGGAAATATTCCTACCACGATGAAGAGGATATCCCAGGGTAAGAAGTGAAGAACAAGCTGCTGGGTGCAGGCAGCAACGATGGACGGTATGCTGACACCGAACAGGAAAATGAACCCGTAGTTGACTCCGACAAAGTCAGATCCGAAAGCTCTGTGACGAAAAACAATGCATTTGATGTCATCACGTTCCGTTATTCCACATGCTTACGATAATACTTACACCACCTTGATTGAATGTGTCAATTGAGAGGACACTATTACTTTACTTCAGTCTGAGATGCATGGCCCTACGTATTATCAGTGTCTGTGATATGGTGTAATATTGAAGCCCTAAATAAATTGCGCTTCAAAATGATCATGAAGTGCCTCAAAAAAGTAAACAAAAATATTTGAGTAACCGGTTTTTACTATACTCATTTCCGCCAACAGACTGTAGTGTTATAAAAACCGTTAGGAAAACGAAAAATCAAATTTCGATTTCCAATGATAAATATCTTGATAATCAGACGGGCGATCTGCTTGTAAAAGTCATGGGATTCCTGACTAACATAAAGGTTTATAATTATGATTGCAGCATGAGCGTCCAGGATTTTGTTTCGGAATCTGAGGCAATGTTACAGAGTCACTTTAAGTGTCAGCAATCCGTAATAGCAGAGAATTAATCATAAAGGTTTATAATTATGATTGCAGCATGAGCTTAATCCAGGATTTTGTTTTTGAGACAATGTTACCGAGTCACTTTAAGCGTAATAGCAGAAAATCAATCTATCCGTTAATTGATATGATAATTAACTATCAAGGTAAAATTAATAATGATGATGATGATGATGATGCTAATAATAATTATAACAACAATAACGATTGTCATAGTAACGATGATAATAATAAAAATTACAATAATTATAATAACGATTATGATAATAATACAGAGATGTAAGGGTGATGACGATAAAGGAGTCGATGGTAATGGTATTGAATGTCCCTTAGTGAACCGTTCTGGCTAAACGGGTATTCCTTTATTTTTGACAAAGACATTTTTATATAAATAAAGTTTTATTAGTGATGGTATCTCTTTGTCGTTTGATTATTTATGAATTGTATTTGTGTATAATCAATGAGGAGATATCCCAAATTATACAATATCTGAATGACTTGAAGAAAAAAAATTGATTTCAACTTTATCTTCACCGATTCATTTGGGAACGGATAGCCTCACCTTGATGTAGCCGTTGGAGCAGTTGAAAAGACGCCACCTATCGAGAAGAATATGCCAACCACCCAGATGAAGAACATAACCTTGTTGCCATAGAAACTAAGTCCGAATGTGAAAGTGAGGGCGGCCATTATAGCAGACGTCGTCATGAAAGAGACCTGAACAAAAAAAAAGATTTTTAGACAGATATTACATTGAAAATTCGTGATTATTCGATTGGAGATGCAACGATCGTAGGCTTCTATCTATCTATCAGGCTATAGTTCATCCAGACGTTGGACAAAGCCCTCCTCCTAACATTTCCATTCTCTTCTGTCTCTAGCTGTCCTAGTCGATCGTAGGCTTGAGATTCGGTTAAAAAATTGAAGGGCTCTTGAATCTTAGGCGATGAATACTACAAAACCAAAAAACTTCAGTCATTTATAAACCGACGGTGAATCTGATTACAATTAACTTTGGTGAATTGCGAACATTTTTATGTCATTTATGATGCAGTACTAGTGGCATGAACTTCGTAATTTTAATCACCCTCAATTTTGCAAATATTTCGATTTGACTTGTTGTTGTGGTAGTTGTTGAGCTTGTTTGCCGCATTTTTTCCTTATTTTTGTAGAAGAGATTTACTGCGTCACTAGTGTATGTCACTTAAGAGTTTTTACGGCCGTACAAAACGGTAACAGTGTGAATTTGTAACGAAAATGTACGACGAAACTTATGCCATAAATAATTTCTAAAAATATCTTTTAATCACCTTGCAGGAAAATCTATCAGCAATATGTCCCCAGAAGATTCTACTCAGCGCGTTAAATACAGAAGCACATGCTCCGGTAGCAGCTAGAAACAGGTCGTCATGTATGAAAGTCTGTCCGAATACCTGTAAACATAACAAAACATGGTAAGATATCTAAATTATAAACCAATTGGGATACCAATCATGCATCTGCAAAGAAATAAAAAGAAATTTAGTACCAAGGCACAAAATATACGATTGGTAACCGATATAACTACACACCCTGTTTGGATTTCGCTTGCGCAATTACTTTGCTTACATCGGACTTGGTAGAATTGCCGATTGATGTGTGTAATAATTACAATAATAATAGGCATTTCTATAGCGCTGTCTATCTAGAAATTCTATTCAGAGGTGCATTTATTATTACCCGGCTTTAGCCTTGCTGCCATTACAGCGCTTAAGCATTTCAAGGAATTAATTCCTGCCAGGCGCCCACTTACCTCACCTGGGTCAAGTGTAGCAAACGAAGATTAATGCCTTGCCAAAGGACATTAGTGTACAAATCTCGCACGCAGCGAAACTCACCATACATGCGCGTGACCTACTTGAAATTACTCGGAACTTACTGCGAGAGATCCGTAATGTTTTGGGTTATGAATTTATGAGGATGAATTTTCTCGTGAGATGGTTCTTTAAACGTTGTCGGAGGGTGTGCGCACTACTAAAAGTCTGAAGGTTTTAGAAGTGCAGTCACTCTTGCTGACCGATTAGATATAAGTCTACACCCGAATACTAATAATGTCAATTTCTCCATGATAACCAATGAAAGTATGCTCTTAAAGGGGGTGTAGCATGACGAGACTACGTGTCTTTCCCGTGGCCTGACTCGGGGCCAATCGGGTATAATACGACTACTGACGACGCGACCGCAGTATTCACGTGCGTGCAACATACGCGAAACCGAAGCGTGAAGAGAACTTCGGTCTGTTTCGCGAACGCTAGCGCGCTGACCATTAATCAAGTCCATTCGTTTAGGTGCAGCTGTCCAAAAAAAGTCGAAGATGGCGTTAAATTTGCAATGCTACACCCCGTTTCAGGTATCAAAACATAAACAAATCATTTCCATCACATTACGTCTATGGTACATGTATACTTGGACTAATTCCATAAATTCCTACCTCCTCCCCTTACACCTATTGCTGGACAACCACATTCAAACCTACAAGGTAGTTATTTCTGGACAACTAACCTTGGTTTACGTATTATGCTTTTGGTTTATCTCTGCCAATTCAACTGGTTTAGGTTAATGATCACACATACTTTCTGTTTACTTGTAAATAATCGCAAGTCGTCATGTTACCCATACCTTGTATAAGGTCGTTAAGTAGAGAATGACAAAGGAATCCATGAACATCGCCACTGTCAGTTGCCAGAAGAACGGATCTTTGAACATCTCTAAAGTCGACAGCGTCCTCCCTGACCATCGAGGGTCCCGGTCGCCCATTGATTCAGCTGATGAACTCGACGTCGGCGTGGACGCCGTGTTGATCGGAAGGGACGTGTCTTTATCGGTTGTCTCAGGAATACTGCGCCCCGCTTCGTTGGCCCAAGGATCGACTCTCTGCGCACCTGTGGCAGGCTGTTCATCGTTAATGCTTCCGGTAGCGCCCTCAGCGATCGCGGATCCGTTAACATCGTTTCCGGTACTCGACAGAGGGCGCTCATTCATTATGATACCCGATTTCTCGGTGATCTTTTTCTCCTTACGTCTCTGTAAGCAAAATGGAAATCGATCATGTTCATGTTTAGCTGCGATTATATAACGGATGGGGAGGCAACCACCCCCTCAAAAAGTATCTGTATGTTCGCAGTACCATGACGTTATAAAATATTAAAAATCCCATCAAAATATTATTTAATTGTTTAATATTAGAAGTTTAATAACTTGATTTAATAAATGGCGCTCCACATAAAGATAAAGAGTTCTACAATCTGGTGGCAGCAAGATAGAATAACCTTTGATAGCGTTACTGGGTTCTCGCTTTGGCCTGGAAACTAGACAGTGTCTACTTACGATGGCGTATCTTCTTGACCTCTTTACAAGGGTCGGGGGGTCACCGAGAAGCATGATGCCAATGATCTGCACGACGGAGAAGATGATGCCTTGCTGGATGAAAGCGAACGGGACGCGATCAAGGACCACCTTCTGGGAGTAATACCTGGTCAGACAGAACAAGAATGAAGGGTAAATAACAAAATTTAAAAAGGCACACGAAGCAGCAGAAATTTGGAATGACCTTGAGCCCTCAGCAAATAGTATTATTGGAGTCACCTCTTGCCAATAGTTGCAACCAGAACATCACAATACAGTGTATATTGATATACTATGCGCTTCAGGAGAGCTTTGGAAATTATTACCCAGCTTTAGTTTAGGAACCGGTAACGCATCGCCCAATGCATTTTAAGAAATAACCCTATCCGGTACCCACTTACTACACGTGGCTCGACAGTAGAGATGGTCGTAGATTAAAGATAAAAGTGAGTTCTGAATGTTCAAAATTACAAATAAATGTCATATACCAAACAATTTTGGTAGAAATGTATACTGGCTGAGTAATAAGCATAGAAAGAATAGGAAATCAAGGTTGGTAGCTCCGACACCGCTTGTGTAGTCCCATATACATCTTTCTGTGTACAGAGCTTGTTACTTTACCAAGACTGGGCCAAATTTATTATGATTTGATGACTCCTGAACTTTGCAGTACACACCAATACTTACGTGCTACATGATCAACTTTTTCCTGATCCAGTCCACATCTTTTCTTTCACAATGCAATCGCATAACCAGAACTCAACATTGTTTGTCATGTCTTGCATAATTCATAAATATTATGCTCCTACTTACCATTGTTCTGCGCCCATTTCGTTTGTATTGATGTCAGGTTCTAGGTTATGAGGGTTGATGAAGAGAGTCTGGACGATGTTGAATACCAAGGGACCGGCTCCGAATCCAGCCAGGAGTAAACCATTGACCACGCCCTTCCGCTGGGGCATCCACTGAGAGAGGGAAGATGGATGGAGATAAGTTAGAGATTGATGCTCATGTAGTGAGGGTACGGGCAACATGGGGGGGGGGGCACAATGGTGTTTCCAACTAGGTGGATAGAAAGTGAATAATCAAGGCTATTGATTACGGGGAAAGTGTGGGAAGGGGTCCTATCATCTTTCTTTCTTACTGGTCTCCCCTCCCCTCCCCTCCCCTCCCCCCTCTCTCTCTCTCTCTCTCTCTCTCTCTCGCTCTTTTTTCTTCTGCTTCTTTTCGGAGATCGATTAGGGGCAAGTACCCCGTCCCCCATGTAGCTTCGCCACCGTATTTTACCTTCATGACACAGACCAGTGGAGGGAGGTAGGTCAGGCCGATCCCAATCCCGAACAAGAATCCATAGGTGAAGAGTAAGAAGTAAAACGAAACTTTAACCGCCCATGCTGAAGCGAACACTGCTATACTGTGATATGCAAAGAAAGAAGAAAACGAATACAGAATAATCCTTATATTGCATACGTGATACCTTTCTGCAAATTTTATTTAAACAATAATGTATATAATTTATATTTTATAAACAATAAATTTACTTGATGGACGAGTCGAAAGATGAAATAAAATGGCGAAGTATGAGAGAATCTGGTGTACTTGGCAAGGAGTATTGACAAATGACTGCAGCTGACAACACCCTTACTGACACCATGACCACCACCGTCACCATCACCATCACAATCCCACCACCAATAAGTCAAGGAAGACAATAAGGAGGATAATGAGAAGAAGAAGAACGAGAAGAACGAAAAGAAGAAGAAGTAGAAAAAGAAGAAAAAGAAGAAAAAGAAGCAGAAGAAGTAGGAGAAGAAGGAGAAGAAATTGAAGAAGTAGGAGAAGAAGGAGAAGAAATTGAAGAAGAAGAAGAAGTAGGAGAAGAAGAAGAAGTAGAAGAAGAAGAAGCATATAGAAGAAGAAGAAGTATATAGAAGAAGAAGAAGGAGAAGAATGAGGAGAAGAAGAAGAAGAAGAAGAAGAAGAAGAAGAAGAAGAAGAAGAAGAAGAAGAGGAAGAAGAAGAAGATGGAGAAGAAGAAGAATATGGAAGAATATAGAAGAAGAAGAAGAAGAAGAAGAAGAAGAAGAAGAAGAAGGACTTACTTGAAAACAACACACCCGATGAAAGTGGCCAGTCTTACTCCAAGCTTCTTTTCCAAATATCCTCCAACCCCCATTGCGAGGCCCTGTCCGAGAATGGCTGCTGCCAGAATCAATGACGCCGTCTGAAAACATTACAAATATGATTACATTAGAAGTGCGTGAAATAACCCCAGTCACATCAAAGAGATCGACAGTAGACCGAACCAAAAAACATACATTTCATCTAATGGCCAAGAATCAGTCGGCTTGAGTCGATTTGGAGTCGGATTGGCAGTATGACAGAAGCATCAAGAAAAAAGTAAACAAAATGGAAGTCACATTTTCAAAATAACAATAAACACTGTAACATAGAATGTGTGGGGGTGGGTCATTAGGAATCAGGGCGTGACATCTGCCTATTAGTAGGGACTTTTAGATTTACACGACGAGAACGTGGACTGATACGTGTGACACCCTTTTAAGGCAATGTGACGTCCTTTTCAGGCACTGCCGGGCACTACCAGTGCCTTAAAAAGACGTCAAATTGCCTTAAAAGGATGTCACACCTGATGGAATCCATTTTAACAATCTTTTCGAGAAACTTCCCTCAATTAAAGACTACTTGTGCTTTCGGAAAATAGCATGTTGGCCTATACTTAAACATTTTGAGGGAAGTTCTAAATTAGTATTGTCCTTCATATGCCTTTGGGATTTAACCTTGTCATTTTGGGGGCCTGCAAATAGAACATAGTTCCTTTAAACTGAGATTTAGGATTGTTACCATGTGCACTGTTGGTAATAATGGTGGAATATTTTTTTTTTTACCCCGATTTATGGAAAGATTTTAACAAAGATTTATTCTCACTAGATCTAGATAATAGTATACATTCTCAGATTTTATTGAATAATAATTTGTGAGTGTTTGTTTTGCGTGACTGCTTAGGCATTTGTATGCTACTATGCTAATCTACTAGGGGACTTACGTCCTTAAGTCATAACTGACAGTAATGAGGAATAATGCCTCATGAAAGGGCACTAATAAAGCATATCGACACGGTTTTGATCCTGGGGGCTCACAGTAACGAGGCCATTGCTTAGTCACTGAATCATGACTGTACGCAGCGGGGGCTAGGGTACGTCGCCGCCCCCACACATACAAAACAAAAAAAAATGCAATAAATTATCAATAATTTATTGAATTTTCCTCTGGTCCCCAACATTAAAAATTCCTCTGTAGGGCAATACATTATGGGTCAAGGCATGCCCATATAGAGGATTTTGTTATCTTTGGGGTTGGGGCAAAATGCAATGAATTTTTGAAAATTTATAGCATTTTCTTTGTTTTTTTGTATTTGTGGGGGCGGCGACGTACCCTAGCCCCCGCTGCGTACAGTCATGATTCAGTGGCTAAGCAATGGCCTCGTAACTGTGAGGCCCCAGAATAAAAACCGTGTCGATCAGCTTTATTAGTGCCCTTTTGTGAGGCATTAATCCTCAGCATTGTCAGTTATGAGTTTAGGACGTAGGTCCCCTAGTTGATTAGCATAGTAGCACACACATGCTTTATCAGTCACGAAAAACAAACACTCGCAAATTACTATTCAATACAATCTAAGAATGTATACTTTTATCTAGATCTATTAGGAATAAATCATTGTCCAAATCATCCCATAAATTTGGGTAACACAAATTATTCCACCATTATGACCAACAGTGTACTATTGGAGACGAAGAGACAAGAGGGTATGATTAAAATGTAGATTGAATATAAATGATTAATCAGTATTTAATTCACATCAAAGGTGTTGATATTTTGGCTTAATGTAGTTTTATGCAAATGTTACAAAGTCATTTGCATAAGAAAAAATAAGTATAAATCCAATTTCCTACAATTAATCCAAACTCTATTGGAGCTTGCTAATATACGGAATCGTAAGATACACTAAAATCTTAGATTTGTAATTATGGCCGATAACGTTCGGAACAAATAGTTTGGGCTTGCCAAGATATCTGCAAACGGAGATGTGAGCTAATAATTACCTGATACGTAATGTGGGGGTCGTCCCCTCTGTATCTAACATAAGACACAATATATGGCACCATATTACCTACAAGATAAACAAAAATAAACATTTATTTACAAAGATTATTAGTTGTTAAACTTTATAGCAGCACTCGAAGTCAGCGGCGGATTAATTTAACGATTGTTTTAATGAATTTGGAAGAAGAAAAAAATATTATATGGCTCCAGCAATTATTTTTCTTCTAATTTTCGGGAGCGATAATGAAAGAGAGAGAAACGAAATGGGGTAGAGAGAGAGAGAGGAGTAGAGAGAGAGAGAGAGGGAGAGGTCAGAGCTCAGAAAGAGAGAGAGAAAGAGAGAGAGAGAGAGAGAGAGAGGAGAGAGTGAGAGAGAGATTACAAGGAACCAAGCTGACGAACTAAAGGAGGATATAATGAAACTGCCCTAAATCTGAAAGGACGCTTATTCATTATAGTATACAATAACACACGAGAATATACCCGACATGAACAAAACAAAAAAACTCCTGTCTCGACCTCACCTTTTCTCGTACTATTCATTCACCAATGCATGTAAAGTCTCGATCCACCCAACCATGTCAGGTTGCGGGTTTTAAGTATAATGCCATGCATTTGTATACGTTTTTCTTCTCAGTTTCAAAACAAGAAAAAAAAAAAGCATACACTACTTAACATCGATGATATCACTCAAAAGCAAATAATTATTGCTTTAATTTGTTTAAGGAATATGATTGAAGTAGAATACCAAAGAAAAGGAGTAATCAATTGTTTAGAATTGAATTCAGAAAATGATGTGCTTGTTAAAGAAATAGCTTTTTCATTGTGGAAAATATGTGCTACACGTTATGTCAATGTGTAAATCGTACATCAGAAGAATGCGGAAGTCATAGAAATTATGAATTATATCAGCTAATTACATGATTAAACCAAATCTGTTTCATAGTTGTGATTTTTTGTGTGGCAGATACGATGCACAATAATGACATTAACAACTGTAAGAAAAAATATTTATAATAATGATAATAAATCTAAGTTTGATGATGATGATGATCATGATGACGATGATATTGATTATGATTAGGATAATGAAAAGAAAAATGATATTGATAATGCTGATAATAATAATTACAATAATAATAATGATCATAATAATAATGATAATACAAATAATATTAATAATAACAACGAAAAAAAATGAAATTATAATAATATTGATAGTAATAACAACAACAATAATAATGATAAGAAGATATTAATAATGTGGTTTTATATAACCTAGGGTACGTAACCGTTTCAGTAAAAATAGCCTAATAGGTCATCCTTGGGGCCCTGCAATTATAAACATTACCACAGCATTGCCAGATACCCATTTAAAAGACCCGAGTACAAGGACGGAAACGGGTGAGTAACACCTCGCCAATTCATTTAGGCTATTTTTACTGAAACGGTTACGTACCCTAGGTTATATAAAACCACATTATTAATATCTTCTTATCATTATTATTGTTGTTGTTATTACTATCAATATTATTATAATTTCATTTTTTTTTCGTCGTTAAGCATCGAATCGAGGAGAAGACGAGGAAGAATCGAACCCAGGACATTTCGTTCACTTTCCAATGAAAGTCAAGAGCCTTCAACGATGTGACAGCTAGTGCTTTCGGTTAAATATCAGTTTCATTTACCGCATGGACCATGTTTAATTTAAAAAAAATAGTTCGTCCTTATATAGCGAATTTCAGGACCGCAGGCCCTCTCAATGCGCTTTACAGATTTATATTATTACCCCGGTCATCGGATTCATGCTTATCCACACACATTGTATGCACATTCTCCACTCCCTGGGGCGCATTTCAGCCAGTCGCCATTTCACAAGCGCCACTTGCTAATCAAACCACATTAACGTTTGCATCCTACCGGGTACCCATTTAACACCTGGGTGGAGAGTGGCAAATGTTTACAGCAAGGTAACTAACCATTTGCAAGCAGACTAGCTAAGGCTACAGAATTCACGCCATGCCCTGCATGTGGCACGGGCATGACACACGGATAATAGACACCCCCTCAAAACATGTTCTCACCGAACGAATAGATTGAGCCCAGTGCGAGAAGAATGAGCACCGCCCCAGTGATCGCCAGGATGCCCCTACAACTCCGATAAGCTGGCTTCCACTCAGTCCCCATTGGTCCTAGCTTGTCCTACAGTCCACACTGGTCAATATATAGTCCAGTCCAATTCTACGGTCCGTCTTTGAACGAGGTCCAGGAACTACTCACAACGGACCAAACCATTAACCTGTCTCGGCTACCACATAATCCACATACAATCACACTCCCCCGCGAATAGGGAGAGCCAAGCCTTTGATTCAAGGTTGGTGAGCTGAGCTTGGCCTAACAATATTCATATTCACATTACACGTCCCAGGTAACTTCTAAGGGGTAATGAGAGAAAAAAGATAGATTTTGAGCTTTCCAGGCTACTGGTTATCATGAATTGACTCCAAAAGACGCACCGTGAACTTTGTCAAATAAGAATGGGGATTTGTACCCAAAATATGTACTTTATGTACATAAAGGCGATCAGCCCAGTGATTTTGAAAAAAAACTTGAAAACGGTGTCAGGAAGGCAGAGAGAGAGAGAGAGAGAGAGAGAGATTCAACCTAAATTTACATTATTCTGATGCTTGGACTCCTATCTTATGTGACACCAGTATTGTACAAACTAATCGTCATTCGCTCAAATGTATGTCTATATATACATGTATATATATATAAGTACGTAGTTATACTATTCTTACATCTGTCTCTATTCTGGTATGGTCACAAAAACTAAATTCAATAGGCCATTTTCGTAATGTAACCAAATTTAATGCACAAGTCTTTGTGTAGTGCCTCAATACAAATTATTTCATTCACCTGATAAGAATAATACATGTAGTACTTCAAAAGTCAGAATGCAAACTGCATATATTAAGTGTTGCTAGGTAGGTCAAGCCATAATGTTTGTCCTAGCTGGCAACAACTAATGTATGCAGTTCGAATTCTGTCCATTGAAATATTCTTATTAGGTGAATGAAATAATTTGTATTGAGGCACTTCACAAAGACTTAATGCATTAAATTTGGATACATTACGAAAATGGCCTATTTTGTACTTGATCTCCTTCTCATTCAGGAAAAGAAAATTCCTTTTCGTATTCATTGTAACCTACTGTATGACCACATGTTGACAATTCCTATACATCATGGGTGTCGATCCCGGGGGGGGGGGATGGGGGATATACCCCCCCCCCCCAATATTTCAGGTGGGGGGATGGCCTGTACAATCATTCCCCCAATAATTCACCATCAAAAAAAAAACTAAAACAAAATTATGATGAGAGCCCGATGAGAGTAGTTAATGGTTATTACTCGCAAGATGACCATTAATATACACATTTTGCTATCTCATTTTCATAATACATACATATATAAATAGAAAACGAAGTAAATGAGATGACCGTATATGAGACAAGAATAAATTGAATTCTCGCTCATACGGCTTCATCAGGAATTGGTGAGTAATTCAATTTCAAAATGTTAAGCGCGAAGCGCAAAAGTGCAAAAAAGAAGAAAAGAGTGGGAGAGAGTGATAATGAGAGACAGAGAGGATACAGGGGCGTAGCCAGGCGGTGGTGGGGGTGGTCGCCCCCCCCCCCCCCAAAAAAAAAAGAGAGAGAAAGAAGAAAGGAAGAGGACGTAGGAAGAAAAAGGATTTAGAGTCGGGAACGGTACAACGAATCGTCTTCCTTTCTCTAATTATTAAATGAAACGTCAAAGCTTCCGCACTTCGCGCGAAAGGGGGGGGGGGACTGAAATCAGCAAGGATTTAGAGTCGAGAATGGTACAACGAATCGTCTTCTTTCTCTAATAATTTAATGAAACGGCAAAGCTTCCGCGCTTCGCGCAGGAAGGGGGGGGGGGGGAACTGAATTCATACAAGGATTAAGAGTCGAGAATGGTACAACGAATCGTCTTCCTTTCTCTAATTATTTAATGAAACGGCAAAGCTTCCGCGCTTCGCGCAGGAAGAGGGGGGGGGGGGGGGACTGAATTCATACAAGGATTAAGAGTCGAGAATGGTACAACGAAACGTCTTCCTTTCTCTAATTATTTAATGAAACGTCAAAGCTTGAGCGCTTCGCGCGAAAGGGGGGGGGGGGACTGAATTCAGCAAGGATTAAGAGTCGAGAATGGTACAACGAATCGTCTTCTTTCTCTAATAATTTAATGAAACGTCAAAGCTTCCGCGCTTCGCGCGGGAAGGGGGGGGGGGAACTGAATTCATACAAGGATTAAGAGTCGAGAATGGTACAACGAATCGTCTTCTTTCTCTAATAATTCAATGAAACGTCAAAGCTTTCGCGCGGGAAGGGGGGGGGGGGGACTGAATTCATACAAGGATTATGAGAGTCGAGAATGGTACAACGAATCGTCTTCTTTCTTTAATAATTTAATGAATCGTCAGAGCTTCCGCGCTTCGCGCGGGAGGGGAAAAACTCCCCCTTCCTGCACCCACCCCCTAGGAGGTGTTCACTACCGCCCCCCCTAAAATAAAACCCTGCCTATATGCTTGAGAGGATAATAACCCAGGTAGCAAGCGCATGTGGAGCCCACATGGGTCCCATATTGTCTAAAATGTTATCTTTATCGAGGGTGACTTGAAAAAGTTAAAAACTTGGAAGGGAGGGGTTGCAACCTGCCACACGCCTCTACCTCTTGGTTGCTTTGATCCATTGCCGAAAATATTTTGGCACCTATCATCCCCCTCAACCGAGGATACAAAGCGACACCCTTGCTATACATCATGTACATGCTACCTTTCAATTTGCTATTTATATTCAGATTTCATTAAACCTTGAAAGCCCTTCCACCGTTGAAACCGCAATAATTGGCTTATATCGCCCTCACATTTTGATAAATAATTGTGTAGAACAATAAATAGGACGAGAAAGGTGATGACTTGGGATCACCTAGCAACAAATGGCGTCATTCTTACTCAGAATTCGGTATATATACTTGCCAATTGCCATACCTACTACATGGAACATGGCATGAGTACGATGACCACCAGTCTTTGCAGAAGTATCATCGGGAACGCTCCAATAACATTATCCACAAGACCAACATCAGGTTTTTTTTTTACAAAGCCTTTTTTTCAATGACAAGTGACACATTCAGTGACAAATCTGCTGATAACCAATAAAGAGCAGGAATTTCACTAGCTTATAACAAAAATTGTAATTTGTCACTGGTGACAAGCTTTGTGAAACACCCACAAGAACGACATCAAACGAAGAAAAAAACCACTACATCGAATGACCAAGTTATACATCGGTCGGTTTGAAGTCACTTTGGCGGTTTGACCGACTTGTAAAACCGTGTCACCATCGTAGAGTGAATAATAAGTTGATGATAGGAAGACAAATATTATGTTTCTTACCGTAAGAATAATGTGTTCCAAGAGGATTCATGACCAGAATCCCGCCAAGAACCACAACAAATCCTCTCAAAGTCTGGAAATCCTCTTTTAGCATTCTCCCCATAGTTAGACATCAACCCACAGTCTATGTGAATCTTATCATAATGATATTAAACTAAACTTTTTCCTGCTTTCGGCCATTATGCCATTGTCCTCGATTTTGTCTCGGCTTCGCTTTAGCTCCGAATTCCCATTTTGTTTTCGACCTCAGCAGTCAAACACAAATGATTCAAGGATTCGTCGTGCGAGCTGTGTACCAGCAAACTCACACTGTGGGATCATACCATAGAAGCAGAAATGCATGTTTGAAGAAAAAAAACGGAATCCAGTGGGGCATAACTTTGATTAACCACATGACTGATGATATATCCGGTATATCAGTCACAGCGAAAAACCCGACTCCAAACCAACCATTTGCGGTAATGTAATTTTTGTCCGGTCTTTAGTCGGTATATATTGTCAGTCTTGTTTGTGTTAATGGGGTATGATGCCTCAGGCTCAGTCACACCGCCATCCCGACTCCACGAACCGACTCAAACCATCCGAGTCCCTGCCTTTGGCGGAAATGTAAAGTTTTGTTCGGTCTGTAGTCGGTCTGGTGTCCGTCTCGTTGGTGTGATTTAGGTATGATAGCTCAGTCACACCGCCATCCCGACTCCACGAACCGACCACAAACTAACCAAGTCCCTACCTACCTACTAATTCTGCAGTTAAAGTTGATGGGGAGCACACTCTTGAAGTTGAAGGGCAGCAGAAAGAACTGAAGAGTAGAAATCTCTTGGTGAAACACAATAGGTACCATTCAGAAAGTAGAGAATGTGCCCTCACGTCGCTGAACAGAAAGGTGCTGAAGGAGATGAATCTTAAGTTTCACCATCCAAAGAAGGACACAGTCATGTGCGGTATGTGAAACCTACCAACGCGGGAACCCACAACAGAAAGAGAAAAATTGAAATCATTTACCAAACTCACATCACTGGAAAGAAAACCATCAGACAGTTGAAGACCAGCCCAAAGGATAGGGATTCGTTTAACCCCAAAGTTGTCGCTGCGGTATATTAGGTCAAGCACTTGCTAAACTCCCCTCAATCCGAATTATTTTAGAAGCAAAGACTTGGCATCTACAACTTTACCATTTAGACTACAACTTTACCATCTAGACTACAACTTTACCATATATGACTACAACTTTACCATCTAGACTACAACTTTACCATATATGACAACAATTTTACCATCTGTGACTACAATTTTACCATCTAGACTACAACTTTACCATATACGACTACAACTTTACCATCTAGACTACAACTTTATCATATACGACTTTACCATATATGACTACAACTTTACCATATATGACTACAACTTTCCATCTAGACTACAACTTTACCACCTATGAACTAGGTAGTAAAGACGGGTGCTGCTGCCTGGCACATGAAGGCATCACTAGAAGAGGATCATGTGAGATCGCCGCGCATCTGCATCGATTTCTCAGTAGTCTGGATGAGAAAGGGCATCGTTGAAGTTGAGTTTTACTCAGATTGTCTGTGTTGGCCAAAAAATCATTCTGTGCTTTCGGAAATGATGCAGCATTTCATTCACAGTGCCAAGTCCATCCACACGATCATTTTGAATTTCTTTCCTACAAACCATGGACAATCTGAGAGTGATTCTATGCACAGTCGAGAGAGCCCAGATGCGTGTCATAGAATTCATGGGACCAGCCCAGTTGACGACCATTTGTAAAATGGCTCGCGTTCTCCCGATCCCTATCATAATTATTATGGAGGCTAAGTCAAGAGATATTGATGATTGGAAATCTGCAAACCAGCAGAGAGGCATCCACCGAATCCGTACCTATGAAGGTGGACTAGACTGGACGAAATCCATGGCAATTAAAATCATAAAGGGTGAGCCCA